GACAGCTGGGTGAGTACTGGGACAGCTGGGTGTGTACTGGGACAGCTGGGTGAGTACTGGGTCAGCTGGGTGGGTACTGGGTCAGCTGGGTGAGTACTGGGTCAGCTGGGTGGGTACTGGGTCAGCTGGGTGAGTACTGGGACAGCTGGGTGAGTACTGGGACAGCTGGGTGAGTACTGGGACAGCTGGGTGAGTACTGGGTCAGCTGGGTGGGTACTGGGTCAGCTGGGTGAGTACTGGGGCAGCTGGGTGAGTACTGGGTCAGCTGGGTGGGTACTGGGTCAGCTGGGTGAGTACTGGGGCAGCTGGGTGAGTACTGGGGCAGCTGGGTGAGTACTGGGGCAGCTGGGTGTGTACTGGGGCAGCTGGGTGAGTACTGGGTCAGCTGGGTGGGTACTGGGTCAGCTGGGTGTGTACTGGGGCAGCTGGGTGAGTACTGGGACAGCTGGGTGTGTACTGGGGCAGCTGGGTGAGTACTGGGACAGCTGGGTGAGTACTGGGACAGCTGGGTGTGTACTGGGGCAGCTGGGTGAGTACTGGGACAGCTGGGAGAGTACTGGGACAGCTGGGTGAGTACTGGGACAGCTGGGAGAGTACTGGGACAGCTGGGTGAGTACTGGGACAGCTGGGTGTGTACTGGGGCAGCTGGGTGAGTACTGGGACAGCTGGGAGAGTACTGGGACAGCTGGGTGAGTACTGGGACAGCTGGGTGTGTACTGGGGCAGCTGGGTGAGTACTGGGACAGCTGGGTGAGTACTGGGACAGCTGGGTGTGTACTGGGGCAGCTGGGTGAGTACTGGGACAGCTGGGTGAGTACTGGGACAGCTGGGTGAGTACTGGGACAGCTGGGTGAGTACTGGGTCAGCTGGGTGAGTACTGGGTCAGCTGGGTGGGTACTGGGTCAGCTGGGTGAGTACTGGGACAGCTGGGTGAGTACTGGGACAGCTGGGTGTGTACTGGGGCAGCTGGGTGAGTACTGGGACAGCTGGGTGAGTACTGGGACAGCTGGGTGTGTACTGGGGCAGCTGGGTGAGTACTGGGTCAGCTGGGTGGGTACTGGGTCAGCTGGGTGAGTACTGGGACAGCTGGGTGAGTACTGGGACAGCTGGGTGTGTACTGGGGCAGCTGGGTGAGTACTGGGATAGCTGGGTGAGTACTGGGTCAGCTGGGTGAGTACTGGGTCAGCTGGGTGAGTACTGGGACAGCTGGGTGAGTACTGGGACAGCTGGGTGTGTACTGGGGCAGCTGGGTGAGTACTTGGACAGCTGGGAGAGTACTGGGACAGCTGGGTGAGTACTGGGGCAGCTGTGCGAGTACTGGGGCAGCTGTGCGAGTACTGGGGCAGCTGGGTGAGTACTGGGGCAGCTGGGTGAGTACTGGGACAGCTGGGTGTGTACTGGGACAGCTGGGTGAGTACTGGGACAGTCCTGCAGTACTGGGACAGTCCTCCAGTACTGGGACAGTCCTGCAGTACTGGGACAGTTCTGCAGTACTGGGACAGTCCTGCAGTACTGGGACAGTCCTGCAGTACTGGGACAGTCCTCCAGTACTGGGACAGTTCTGCAGTACTGGGACAGTTCTGCAGTACTGGGACAGTCCTCCAGTACTGGGACAGCAGTACTGGGACAGTCCTCCAGTACTGGGACAGTCCTCCAGTACTGGGACAGTCCTCCCTGGGGCAGCTGGGCAGTACTGGGACAGTCCTCCAGTACTGGGACAGTCCTCCAGTACTGGGACAGTCCTGCAGTACTGGGACAGTCCTCCAGTACTGGGACAGTCCTCCAGTACTGGGACAGTCCTGCAGTACTGGGACAGTCCTGCAGTACTGGGACAGTCCTCCAGTACTGGGACAGTGCAGTACTGGGACAGCAGTACTGGGACAGTCCTCCAGTACTGGGACAGTCCTCCAGTACTGGGACAGTCCTGCAGTACTGGGACAGTCCTGCAGTACTGGGACAGTCCTCAGTACTGGGACAGTCCTCCAGTACTGGGACAGTCCTGCAGTACTGGGACAGTCCTGCAGTACTGGGACAGTCCTCCAGTACTGGGACAGTCCTCAGTACTGGGACAGTCCTCCAGTACTGGGACAGTCCTCCAGTACTGGGACAGTCCTCCAGTACTGGGACAGTCCTCCAGTACTGGGACAGTCCTCCAGTACTGGGACAGTCCTCCAGTACTGGGACAGTCCTCCAGTACTGGGACAGTCCTCCAGTACTGGGACAGTCCTCCAGTACTGGGACAGTCCTGCAGTACTGGGACAGTCCTCCAGTACTGGGACAGTCCTCCAGTACTGGGACAGTCCTCCAGTACTGGGACAGTCCCCCAGTACTGGGACAGTCCTCCAGTACCAGTCCAGTACTGGGACAGTCCTCCAGTACTGGGGGACAGTCCAGTACTCCAGTACTGGGACAGTCCTCCAGTACTGGGACAGTTCTGCAGTACTGGGACAGTCCTCCAGTACTGGGACAGTCCTGCAGTACTGGGACAGTTCTGCAGTACTGGGACAGTCCTCCAGTACTGGGACAGTCCTCCAGTACTGGGACAGTCCTCCAGTACTGGGACAGTCCTGCAGTACTGGGACAGTTCTGCAGTACTGGGACAGTCCTCCAGTACTGGGACAGTCCTCCAGTACTGGGACAGTTCTCCAGTACTGGGGCAGTCCTCCAGTACTGGGACAGTCCTGCAGTACTGGGACAGTCCTCCAGTACTGGGACAGTCCTGCAGTACTGGGACAGTTCTCCAGTACTGGGACAGTCCTCCAGTACTGGGACAGTCCTCCAGTACTGGGACAGTCCTGCAGTACTGGGACAGTCCTCCAGTACTGGGATATCCTCCTTTCCTGCCACTCCGTAACAAATACGACTGTTTTACTGACCCAGACATGGGAAGTTGTGAGACGAGGAGGGGGGCCATGCCCCCCTCACACACACAAGGGGGTATTAGTGTCTACAACCTGCTCCCAACAACAGTCTTATTGTCCCACTTGTCGGCCACGAAGCCCTCGGCCCTCTGGGGCTGTAGAGCAACTCGCGAAACCACCCAAAGGTAAAACACAGGGAAGGTGTGTATAGGTCTACATAATACACCGATAGCAATAACAGGAGCCCACCATTAGTGGCGCCGCTCACCGTCAGGGCTAATTGAAAGTGGAGTCAAGTGAATTGTTGCAGGAGGCCATTGTGGGCCATTGTGGGCCATTGTGGGCCGTGGGCAGCTGAAGGTAATGGCTTGCTTCCCGGGCCAGGCCACCAACCTGGCCTGCCAGGGCTTAGTTTCCCACTCTCCCATACGCCAGGTTTTTCTCTTTACGTGGGCGCTTGTAAGTGTTTCTTGAGTGGTGGGGGTTGGGGTGTGAGGGTGGGGGGGGGTGTGGTGGGGGTTGAGTGTGTGGGGATGTGTGGTGGGGGTTGAGTGTGTGGGGTGTGTGTGGGGGTTTTGAGTGTGTGGGGGGGGTGTGTGGTGGGGGTTTTGAGTGTGTGGGGATGTGTGGTGGTGGTTGAGTGTGTGGGGGGTGTGTGGTGGGGGTTTTGAGTGTGTGGGGGGAGTGTGGTGGGGGTTGAGTGTGTAGGGGGCGTGTGGTGGGGGTTGAGTGTGTGGGATACTTAGACCGAGATGGTGGCAGGAGCCCCAGGGGGCCCTCAGGACCCCGGGGGAAGGTCAGGTCATGGTGGCAGGAGCCCCAGGGGGCCCTCAGGTCCCTGAGGAAGATCAGATCATGGTGGCAGGAGCCCCAGGGGGCCCTCAGGTCCCTGAGGAAGATCAGATCATGGTGGCAGGAGCCCCAGGGGGCCCTCAGGTCCCTGGGGAAGGTCAGCTCATGGTGGCAGGAGCCCCAGGGGGCCCTCAGGTCCCTGGGGAAGGTCAGCTCATGGTGGCAGGAGCCCCAGGGGGCCTTCAGGTCCCTGGGGAAGGTCAGCTCATGGTGGCAGGAGCCCCAGGGGGCCTCTCAGGACCCAGGAGAAGCTCAGATCATGGTGGCAGGAGCCCCAGGGGGCCCTCAGGTCCCTGAGGAAGATCAGATCATGGTGGCAGGAGCCCCAGGGGGCCCTCCAGGACCCTTGGGAAGCTCAGATCATGGTGGCAGGAGCCCAGGGGCCCTCAGGACCCCGGGGGAAGGTCAGATCATGATGACCCAGGAGAGGGAAGCCTCCAGGAAGGTGAGGTTCACCGGCAGGATATCCCCCGCCCCCGGGGTATTAGTGGCTCAGGAAGGCATCTACCCGCCAATACCAGGCTCGCGCCCCACCACCCCCCGCCCCCGGGGTATTAGTGGCTCAGGAAGGCATATTCCCGCCAATACCAGGTCCGCGCCCCACCACCCCCCGGCCACGCCTGACGAGCCGCAGGGTCGGGGCCCTCAGGTCCCTGAGGTCTCATGGCCCTCAGGTCTCGCTGGGATCATGACCCTCAGGTCCCTGAGATCTCATGGCCCTTAGGTCCCTGAGGTCTCATGGCCCTCAGGTCTCTGAGGTCTCATGGCCCTCAGGTCCCTGAGGTCTCATGGCCCTCAGGTCTCTGAGGTCTCATGGCCCTCAGGTCTCTGAGGTCTCATGGCCCTCAGGTCTCTGAGGTCTCATGGCCCTCAGGTCCCTGAGGTCTCATGACCCTCAGGTCCCTGAGGTCTCATGGCCCTCAGGTCCCTGAGGTCTCATGGCCCTCAGGTCCCTGAGGTCTCATGGCCCTCAGGTCTCTGAGGTCTCATGGCCCTCAGGTCTCTGAGGTCTCATGGCCCTCAGGTCCCTGAGGTCTCATGGCCCTCAGGTCCCTGAGGTCTCATGGCCCTCAGGTCCCTGAGGTCTCATGGCCCTCAGGTCCCTGAGGTCTCATGGCCCTCAGGTCCCTGAGGTCTCATGGCCCTCAGGTCCCTGAGGTCTCCTGGCCCTCAGGTCCCTGAGGTCTCATGGCCCTCAGGTCCCTGAGGTCTCCTGGCCCTCAGGTCCCTGAGGTCTCATGGCCCTCAGGGACCTGAGGTCTCATGGCCCTCAGGTCCCGCTGGGATCATGGCCCTCGGGTCCCTGAGGTCTCATGGCCCTCAGGTCCCGCTGGGATCATGGCCCTCGGGTCCCGCTGGGATCATGGCCCTCAGGTCCCTGAGGTCTCATGGCCCTCAGGTCCCGCTGGGATCATGGCCCTCAGGTCCCGCTGGGATCATGGCCCTCAGGTCCCTGAGGTCTCATGGCCCTCAGGTCCCTGAGGTCTCATGGTCCTCAGGTCCCTGAGGTCTCATGGCCCTCAGGTCCCTGAGGTCTCATGGCCCTCAGGTCCCTGAGGTCTCATGGCCCTCAGGTCCCTGAGGTCTCATGGCCCTCAGGTCCCTGAGGTCTCCTGGCCCTCAGGTCCCTGAGGTCTCCTGGCCCTCAGGTCCCTGAGGTCTCATGGCCCTCAGGTCCCTGAGGTCTCATGACCCCTCAGGTCCCTGAGGTCTCATGGCCCTCAGGTCCCTGAGATCTCATGGCCCTCAGGTCCCTGAGGTCTCAGGTCCCTGAGGTCTCATGGCCCTCAGGTCCCGCTGGGATCTTCATAACTTCCCACGGCTATTTATCTACTTGGAATGTTCAGAGATTATTTAAATTGACCATTTTCCTCCTCAAAACCCTTTGTGCGGTCGGCGCTTTTATTAACAAATTCGGTATATATATTTTTTTCAGCGTCGGGGGGGGGGGGGGGGGGGTAATTTGGCTTGCCAGCTGCCTGTAGTTTGGCCGCCTTGACAGCTCCTCTGCGGGATTTGAGTTTTTTTTTTTATGCTTGTTCAAGTCCTTCAGGGATATACACAGCCCTTATCTCAGGGGCCGCCAGGGACGTCTCATGGACCCTTACAGACAATAAAAAAGTTGAAAAGTTGTCTGAAGACTTTGTGATGGGTATTGTGGGGGGGGGGGGTGTTGACCTAGTTGTTCTTGTGGGGGGGTTGGGCTTCGGCTCTGTGGTCCCGCCTCTCAACATCTACTTCATTTATGTACTGGGCTCCTGAGCCTGTAGGTTATAGATCTGATATAACGACTCCTGAGTCGTTATATCAGATATATATATGAAACTGTGTATGTGGAGTCTGCCTCCACCACTTTCTTCACTACCCTGGCCCCAAAAAAATCTTTTGATGTGTTTAATGACATATCAAAAGATTATTTTGACACTATTATTTAATATGCCACATTATTGACATATTTCGACATTGGTTTTTCCATTTGTATTTACTATTTGTATCTGCAGAATCGAGCTATTAGCTCTTGGACCCCGCCTTTCTAACCTATTTTTTCCTCTTATGTCTACTACATATATATATTTCTCTCTAACGCGCGCGCGAAGATCAGGAACCTTTACATCATTTGATTGGCAGTTGAGAGGCGGGACCAAAGAGCCGCAGCTCAACCCCCGCAAGCACAACTAGGTGAGTACACACACACACTCAAACAAAAAATAACGACTACCAGACTATCTTGAGGTTATCTTGAGGTTATCTTGAGATGATTTCGGGGCTTTTTAGTGTCCCCGCGGCCCGGTCCTCGACCAGGCCTCCACCCCCCAGGAAGCAGCCAGTGACAGCTGACTAACACCCAGGTACCTATTTACTGCTAGGTAACAGGGGCATAGAGTGAAAGAAACTCTGCCCATTGTTTCTCGCCGGCGCCTGGGATCGAACCCGGGACCACAGGATCACAAGTCCAGCGTGCTGCCCGCTCGATCGACCGGCTCCCTATCTATCGACCGACTATCACAAGAAAGGAAAATAAGCCTAAGCAGGGAGATCCAAGAAATAGAACAAACGTTGAAGCGATCATATGAGTCTGAGGAAATGACAATTGGAACAGAAAGCTATACAAGAGATAAGGAAAGAGATAAGAGATGTATATATCTATACAAGAGATAAAGAAAAATCCGAAATATTTTTTCGCATACGCAAAATCAAAATCCAAAACCTCGACCAGTATTGGACCGTTAATTACAAGTGAAGGTACGTACACAGAGGACAACAGGAGGAGTACGTACACAGAGGACAACAGGAGGAGTACGTACACAGAGGACAACAGGAGGAGTACGTACACAGAGGACAACAGGAGGAGTACGTACACAGAGGACAACAGGAGGAGTACGTACACAGAGGACAACAGGAGGAGTACGTACACAGAGGACAACAGGAGGAGTACGTACACAGAGGACAACAGGAGGAGTACGTACACAGAGGACAACAGGAGGAGTACGTACACAGAGGACAACAAAGAGATTAGTGAAATTCTAAGAAGCCAGTATGAGGCTATGTTTAGCACACCAATAAACAACATGAAAGTTGATGACCCAGACAGCTTCTTTATGAATGACATTCAAGCTGCAGATAATATAACGGATATTACCACAAACTCGGAAGACTTTGAAAGAGAAATTGACAATATGCCTATGCACTCAGCTCCTGGGCCTGACTCATGGAATTCAATATTCATAAAGAAATGTAAAGTACCAGTAGCGAGAGCACTCAGCGTAATATGGAGAAAGAGCCTGGATACAGGGGAGATACCAGCAGCACTTAAATCTGCAGATATAGCTCCGTTGCACAAGGGGGGGAGTAAAGCCTTGGCAAAAAATTATAGGCCAGTTGCACTAACATCACACATAATAAAAGTGTTTGAAAGAGTGATTAGGAATCAAATTTCTAGTTATATGGTAAATAATGAGCTACACAACCCAGGACAACATGGATTTAGAGCGGGAAGATCCTGTCTGTCACAGTTACTCAACCACTATGACAAAATCACAGAAGCCCTAGAAGAAAAGCAAAATGCAGATGTTGTATACACAGACTTTGCAAAGGCGTTCGACAGATGTGACCATGGGGTGATAGCTCACAAAATGAGGTCAATGGGAATAACTGGTAAAGTAGGACGCTGGATACTCAATTTCCTGTCGAACAGAACACAAAGAGTAACAGTCAATCAGATCAAATCGAATCCAAGCGATGTTAAAAGCTCTGTACCTCAAGGTACAGTCCTTGCACCGCTACTGTTCCTTATTCTCATATCTGATATAGACAAAAATACACGCCACAGCTTCGTGTCGTCCTTTGCAGATGACACAAACATCAGCGTGAAAATTACCTCTGCTGAAGACATTGAAAAATTACAAGCAGATAATAAAATTTTTGACTGGACAGCAGAAAATAACATGATGTTTAACAGTGATAAATTGAAGGTACTCAGGTATGGCAAAAATTAGGATCAGACAGAACAGTGACCCAGCAGACAGAACAGTGACCCCCAGCAGACAGAACAGTGACCCCCAGCAGACAGAACAGTGACCCCCAGCAGACAGAACAGTGACCCCCAGCAGACAGAACAGTGACCCCCAGCAGACAGAACAGTGTCCCCCAGCAGACAGAACAGTGACCCCCAGCAGACAGAACAGTGACCCCCAGCAGACAGAACAGTGACCCCCAGCAGACAGGACAGTGACCCCCAGCAGACAGGACAGTGACCCCCAGCAGACAGGACAGTGACCCCCAGCAGACAGGACAGTGACCCCCAGCAGACAGGACAGTGACCCCCAGCAGACAGAACAGTGACCCCCAGCAGACAGAACAGTGACCCCAGCAGACAGAACAGTGACCCCCAGCAGACAGAACAGTGACCCCCAGCAGACAGAACAGTGACCCCCAGCAGATAGAACAGTGACCCCCAGCAGACAGAACAGTGACCCCCAGCAGACAGAACAGTGACCTCCAGCAGACAGAACACTGTCCCAGCAGACAGAACAGTGACCCCCAGCAGACACAACAGTGACCCCCATCAGACAGAACAGTGACCCCCATCAGACAGAACAGTGACCCCAGCAGACAGAACAGTGACCCCAGCAGACAGAACAGTGACCCCAGCAGACAGGACAGTGACCCCAGCAGACAGGACAGTGACCCCAGCAGACAGGACAGTGACCCCAGCAGACAGGACAGTGACCCCAGCAGACAGGACAGTGACCCCAGCAGACAGGACAGTGACCCCAGCAGACAGAACAGTGACCCCAGCAGACAGAACAGTGACCCCCAGCAGACAGAACAGTGACCCCCAGCAGACAGAACAGTGACCCCCAGCAGACAGAACAGTGACCCCCAGCAGACAGAACAGTGACCCCCAGCAGACAGAACAGTGACCCCCAGCAGACAGAACAGTGACCCCCAGCAGACAGAACAGTGGCCCCCAGCAGACAGAACAGTGGCCCCCAGCAGACAGAACAGTGACCCCCAGCAGACAGGACAGTGACCCCTAGCAGACAGGACAGTGACCCCCAGCAGACAGGACAGTGACCCCCAGCAGACCGGACAGTGACCCCCAGCAGACAGTACAGTGACCCCCAGCAGACAGGACAGTGACCCCCAGCAGACAGGACAGTGACCCCCAGCAGACAGGACAGTGACCCCCAGCAGACAGAACAGTGACCCCCAGCAGACAGAACAGTGACCCCCAGCAGACAGAACAGTGACCCCAGCAGACAGAACAGTGATCCCCAGCTGACAGGACAGTGACCCCAGCAGACAGAACAGTGACCCCCAGCAGACAGGAGAGTGACCCCCAGCAGACAGGACAGTGACCCCCAGCAGACAGGACAGTGACCCCCAGTAGACAGAACAGTGATCCCAGCAGACAGAACAGTGACCCCAGCAGACAGAACAGTGACCCCCGGCAGACAGAACAGTGACCCCCAGCAGACAGAACAGTGACCCCCAGCAGACAGAACAGTGACCCCCAGCAGACAACAGTGACCCCAGCAGACAGAACAGTGACCCCCAGCAGACAGAACAGTGACCCCCAGCAGACAGAACAGTGACCCCCCAGCAGACAGAACAGTGACCCCCAGCAGACAGAACAGTGACCCCCGGCAGACAGAACAGTGACCCCCAGCAGACAGAACAGTGACCCCCAGCAGACAGAACAGTGACCCCCAGCAGACAGAACAGTGACCCCAGCAGACAGAACAGTGATCCCCAGCTGACAGAACAGTGACCCCCAGCAGACAGAACAGTGACCCCCAGCAGACAGAACAGTGACCCCCAGCAGACAGAACAGTGACCCCCAGCAGACAGAACAGTGACCCCAGCAGACAGAACAGTGACCCCCAGCAGACAGAACAGTGACCCCAGCAGACAGAACAGTGACCCCAGCAGACAGAACAGTGACCCCAGCAGACAGAACAGTGACCCCAG